GGGGACAACCATATTGTTAAGCCAGGGATGCTACGGTAGCATCAACTTTTGGTATTTCAGTAATTGGGACTTTTGGTTCCTGGATCCTATAGAACCTAAGATCATTTATGTTCATGTGCTTAGACTTGTCTGGCTTATCCCGTTCATCCTTGATTACCTCCACGAAAGAGGCATGTAGGAAACTGTGACCTGAGGGAGGATATTGAGGGGAGAAAGTTGCTCAGAGGCTGACTCTCAGGATTTTTTTAAAGGTTGAATCTGAAAAGTGGATACAGTCTTGCTGCCCATGGCCTCAAATTTCTCAGGGAGGGAAAAAACAAAACAAAAACAACAAAAAACCTTTGCTGAATCTTTCCCCAGTCCTCTCCTCTCTATCTCGAGACCCCTGGGGACTTACTCCCTGAGTCAGCTGACTGGGATCCTTCTCATCCTTAGAGCCTCTCCCTTCTCTGACCATGAACTCCTAGCCCATTTCCCCCACATTGAAGTCATGGTTGCTCCAGTGGATAGGGGATCTCTCATGCATGGCCAACTCATAGCCCTCAGACCTAACAGAATTAGGGACAGAAGGCTGGCTGCAGGCTGGGCACAACTCACCATTTACTGCACTTGGGAGATAGTCTCACATCCAGAGCACCATTTGCATTTCATTCGGTGCTTTTTAGGGTGCTCTGCCATACCTGGAAGGTGCAGAGGAATCAGCATGGGAACAGTACAGCTGAGGCTCTAGGTGGTTCCAACACCTGGTTAAAAAAAACTGACCTGAGGGGGGCGGGGAGAGGGACTGGGAGGAACTCACTGCTCACCCCACCCCAAATTTTTGACAAAAAAGCCCCCTTTAGGCCAGTATGAAGGCAGGAACTGTAAAAACTGCTGTCCACATGCTGGCACGGAGGCAGAGAACCTGGAAGCAAACAGGATCTGAGGGGGTGTGGCTAGACAATGCTGCTTTGAAACCTTGATCCACTTCAGTGAGCTGCAGAGAGAGGAGAGCAGTCCAGATGTAAAGAAGTGTGGTAGACGCTAGGCCACAGAGTGGCTCCATCTTTCCACCTGTGGGTTCCTTAGGTTAGAACTCCCGCCCTCTGAGGAAGTAACATAACCCTGACGTATCACACTACTGCAGCGTCAACCTTCGGTATCTCAGCAACAGAGCCCTTGGATTTTTAAATGTTACAGGTCTGTCGCATCTTACGCGCATTTAACATGCGCGAATTCAGCTTTATGCGGTCAGCAAAAACAAAAACAAAAAAAGAGAAAAATAACAATTTAAATACTGTTCCTGTAGTGCGGGCGATTCCGCCCGCCATTACACTCAATGTAATTTTGACTATACGCGGTTTTCGCTTTACGCGCTGACCGCGGAACGTAACCCCAGCGTAAGATGAGACAGACCTGTATTGAGCCTTGCCCTTACCTGGCTCTCTCCATTCATCCCTCATCACGGTGACGTTGTGCAGTCTATATGGTTTTATAAAAATATAAGTGAATATAATGTAACTGGGATATGCTTCATGCAAAAGGTCTCTGGTAAGGTATCATTACAAAGCTTATAACTACTAGGTATGATCATCCTATTTGTATAGATGTACCACTCTTGTATCTGAAACTAGAAATATAAAATATAACTCTGGGGGCCTATTGTAATTATGCAAAGTGTGGGCCATTAATGGTGGTTTGGAATCTTGATGACTCCCATTAACCAGGACCATTGTCTGCAGATGGCTGTGTTTTACCTGTGAGTCTTCCTTTATATGTGTGTGCTGGCAAGTGGGTAATGAAGCCTTGCAGTGACATGTGATCATGTCACCTGAACTGGAATCCATCTTTAACCTTGTGCTTTTCCAGTGTGTGTGTGGGGGGGGGAGGGGGAGGGGTGGAAACCCAGAGGGACAAAGGGTTCCTGCCTTATGCAAAAAGAGACAAAGAGGTGGAACAGAACAAAGAGGGGGAAAGAACCATCATGAAGAATCGCCTAGCTACCACCTGAGCTGGAACAAGAGCTGTACCAGGGAAAGAATTGTGCCCAGGCCTGGAAGGTGTCCACTGTGAGGAAAAAACTTACTGAAGCATCTCTGAGGGTGAGATTATCTGTATTTAGTTTAATTAGACATAGATTTGCGCATTTTATTTTATTTTGCTTGGTGACTTACTTTGTTCTGTCTGTTTCTACTTGGAACCACTTAAATCCTACTTTCTGTATTTAATAAAATCACTTTTTACTTATTAACTCAGAGTATGAATTAATACCTGGGGGAGCAAACAACTGTGCATCTCTCTCTATCAGTGTTTTAGAGGGCAAACAATTTATGAGTTTACCCTGCATAAGCTTTATACAGGGTAAAACGGATTTATTTGGGTTTAGACCCCATTGGGAGTTGGGCATCTGAGTGCTAAAGACAAGCACACTTCTGTGAGCTGTTTTCAGGTTAACCTGCAGCTTTGGGGCAAGTAATTCAGACCCTGGGTCTTCGTTGGAGCAGACGGGAGTGTCTTGCTCAGCAAGACAGGGTGCTGGAGTCCTGAGCTGGCAGGGAAAACAGGAGCAGAAGTAGTCTTGGCACATTAGGTGGCAGCTCCCAAGGGGGTTTCTGTGATCCAACCCGTCACAATCACTGCCTCGAAGAAGGAATGGATGGGGAATTGCAACCTCAAGAGAGGATTCAGAAGGGAAAAATTTACTTTGAGGCTTACTCACGGGAGTCTGCTCAGGTGTCGGTACCAGACTGCTCACCTTCCTGAGTGGAGGAGTCAGAGAACTCAAATCTCCTGGATTTGTGTTTTTTCTTCCCCTTTTTAGATTTTTTAAAAACTCTTAGCACATCTTGGGAGCGTAGCAGCTCTACTATGGCTTTGGTGAGGCCTTTTGCAGCTTGCCTTACCTTCAAGAGATCAGTCTCAGAACTCTCCCCCACTGGGTCCCATTCCCCTGGGAGGGAGAAGGGAGAAACTTGTTGGAGTTCTCCGGGTCAGCTTGGGAGGCTGACTAGAACCTCTGCTTCTTTCACTCAGGGCGCTCAGGACAAACTAAGACTCGGAGTGGAGGGAGTCTTGTGGCCCCACAGGCCCCTATGCTCTGAAAGGGTCCCCTGGAACTTATCCCAAGTCAAGTGGCCAGGGTCCTTCTTGCTTTTGGAGTATCTCCTTGCTTTGAGTTCCTGGTCCAATTTCCCCCCGTTGGGAGTCGTGGCTTAGGTAGGCAGGGGGACCCCACCTGTCTGTCTGACTCCAAGTCCCAGGACCAACGGGAGTTAGGGATAGAAGGCTGTGTGCAGGCTGGGCACCTACCAACCCTGGGAAGGCTGACTTACATATAGAGCACAGCCTGGATTTAACCCAGTGCTTTCTTAGCTGCTCTGCCATGGCTGTAAGGGTGCAGTGCAGGCTTAGGAAGAGTTAAATGACCTGAGGAGGAGGAAAGCTGAGGAAGGAAAACATTGCTCCCCACTGCCCATGGACAAAAATGTTAAAACTGAAGGAGTAAGGAAGGGCAGGAGCAACAGAAACCATCACTGTCTGCTGCAGCTGTGGAGGCAGAGAAACTGGCAGGAACCAGGAGAAAAGGGGGAAGGACCACACCACGCGGCACCAAAATGCTGATCCGCCTCCATGAGCTGCAGAGATAGGAGAACAGCCCAGATGTCCAGAATTATGGGAGACAGTGGCACTGGGCTGCAAAATGCTTGGATGGTAGCACGTGTTCTCAACTGGGACTGGTACATAACTTCCAATAAGACTTTGTTTCAACAACATAAGGTATTTTCAAAAACATTTCACACTTTTATTCTTTGCTCTTCAAGTTTTTAGAACCCTAAAATGAGCAAAATGGGCATAAGGTTCCTTTGTGTATTTTGGTGGTTTTGTGCATTACTAGGAAACCGCTATATTCTGCTTGAACTAATTTAGGAAAAGTGCCTCACATCTGGTTCTCTGTTTTAGTGCTCAGTAATTTGCTTGAAGAACACTCAAACACTCTGCACTTCAAACAATAGTGGATTCCACAAAGAACATAATGTGAAAAGCAAGTGGTATTTATTTAGTAGTACTTTTGATTAAATTTTCTCTCTCTGCCCAAAACAGGTTGCTTATATTAATGTAATTGTATAGAAGAGGGTCTAAAATGATATCACACTATAGGGGCACTGCACCATCTTGTGCAGTATGGCACTTGGTCCTAGACAAGTTGCCAACATAACATGCGATATGGGTTTGGTTTGAATTTGTAACTTCAAGTCAACACATAATGCTAGAGAGAAAATGCCTATGATTAAATGTCATCTGAAAAGATGTTGCTAAGAACAGATCTTAGCAACTCAAATGAGAATTTATTAGTGTATCCACCAAAACAGCTAACTGGCCTTGCTGTATATAAAATGTAACAATTTAGGTTGTTCCTTCTGGGATCCTTATGTTGTTGGAAGATTTCTAATCTTTGCAATTCCCCCAGAGAAGTTCAGATTGAGGCAAACTATTGAGTGGATTTGCAGAAACCACCACTGCCGCAGATGAGCAAACTAATTGCAGTAAGGAAAAGGCTGCCCACTAATCTGCTGAGTTACTCTTGTAGTTGTAGCACAGAACAAGCATAACAAGGCATTTAAGCCTATATAAAGCATCCAGTGAATGAGGTAGGAGTCCTGTGGAAAAAATAGTATGCAATGTGCACAAGGGGTCTGAATTAAGATTGCACAGGCAACTTAATTCTAGCATTTCCTAAGTTTTGAGTCCTAGACTTTGCAACCTTGCATTCTTGTCACATGGGTTTTTCATGATTAGATTTTAAATATCTATTTCAACAGATGAGCAAATTGTACATGGACAATTTTTAGCTCTGCTACTATGAAAAGTTCTGGAAATAATTAAAGAGGAAGCCGTGCAGTCAACCATTCTAAATCTGAAGATCTTCTCTTTCCCTCTCCCCCAAAGAAGTTTTTCTGGGTAATAATCACCAGAGCAACAACAAATAGCGTACATGCATGTGCACACACACACAAAATCAATACATATGTATATACATTTTTATTAAACAAGGTCATTTTAGCTTAACTGAACAAGGCAATGGGAAATACAAGGACTGGACATATACATGACAACTTTACAACTTCTTGACAGAAATAAATGACTTGTGACTTATATACAGCTGCATTTAATAGAGGTTACAAGTCTACTGTATTTTAATTAAACAAAATCTTAAGCTCTTACATTATGAAAATATGCAGAAGTTGGATCATAGAGGTTAAAATCCTGTCCACTCTAAAAATATTAAGTCTAAAAACCTCCATACCTTCCAATTTCTGCCCACAAAGTTTCTATTTTACAGAACCACCATTACTTTACTGTCTTTACTGTTACCATACATGAAATATCAAAAATATATTGATGAGTCTATCACTAATCATGAATGTTTGTATTTACATTCAAGTTAACAAATTCCTCACCAAATACTTTATATACAAATCTCAATTCGCCCTTTATGAAAGTCATTAAAAAGTTAAAAACCATAAAAATGCCAATTAGAAATAAAGCATTCCAAAAACTGAACTTGTTTACAACAATTCAGAACATTCGAAACAAATTTATGAAAAATGTGTTACTTTAATACAAGTATTGTCACAATACTTTAGCTCCAATACAGCGCAACAAAATTTTGCCTTCAACACATTCTGTGCGGCATCTTCCCTTCCAACAATGCTGTAGGAAAAAACAAATTAAGTAATCAATTGAGGAATAATATTTTTGCAGATCCCGGTACACTATCATATAAAATGTATGTTTTGATGATGATCTTTACAGTAAACTGGCCAAGAAACATAGCCCTCTTACTACATTACTATGATGTGTACATTACATTTAACTACAATTTTACAATGACGTTTCAGTAGAGTCCAGGAAGAGCATATAATACATCTTAAACAAAATGAAAACTGACATTTTAGATAAGTGGGGTCTCCCAAAAGTGTAATTGTGCTCACAAGAAAAATTCACCATAAAAGACTGAAAGATGGGGAATTTCTTCAGGAGTTGTGGAAGAAATCCAAATCCAAACAAACAAAAACACACACACATCCTGATGTGTAGTCCATTAATTTTGACAGGGGAAAAAGGTTCTCTCTCTTTACACACATGTTCATCCAAACTAGACTACAATGTTCACAGAAAAAATAAAAAACAAAATTTTCAAAATTTCTTGTCACCGAGGGGCTGAGAGTCCAATCGGCAGCTACAGAAAAACATGATGTAGAAAAGAGGCATGCAGACCTCCTTCCATCAGTGTTTCATAGCATAGTGTCTTGTCCATTGGGACAACACCTCATTCATTGGGACATATAATGACTAGCTAGTCTACTGCTTTCAATTAGTTCTCATTTAGGTCCATGTGACTTCATGTATCTCCTCCAAATACCTGTACAACCGGAGTCACGTTCCTAAAAGAGAATTTCTTTTTCTTTGTAATACACTTGTGATCTACAGCATTATAGACCAAGCAATAATAGGTAGAGTCAAGTGAAGCTCAGCAGCCATCTACTGATTTGAGATTACAAAACAATAGAGATTATACTTTCAAACCAGTAATGCCTAACCTAGGAGTTTAGAGACACTCATCAAGCCCTAGAGTAGGAGGGTCCAAAGTTGTTCTTCAGAGTTTACATAGTTTCATGAAGAGTGAACTTAGATAGAAGAGAGGGTTACTCACTTTGTGCAAAAACAACGAGGATTCCTTGTGGCACCTTAGACACTAAACAAATTTATTTGGGCATAAGCTTTGGTGGGCTAAAACCAACTTCATCAGATGCATCAGAAAGCTTATGCCCAAATAAATGTGTTAGTCTCTAAGGCAGAGGTGGGCAAACTGTGGCCCGTGGGCCGGCCGTCCTGGCCAGCCCTTGAGCTCCTGGCCGCGGAGGCTAGCCCCCAGCCCTTCCCCCACAGCCTCAGCTCACCATGCCGCCAGCGCTCTGGGCCGTGGGGCTGTGAAGTCCTGCTGGGCAGCCTAGCTGCGTGAGCTGTCAGGTGTAGTGTATTAAATTGCTCCCCGTAGAAATGTGCTACTTACGGCGCACCAAGTAGTACACAGTTAGTACCACATTCCTATGGGGAGCAATTTAATACACTACACCCGGGTAGGGAAGGCTGTAGCTCCCCAAACAGCCTGGCCTCCACCCCCCTATCATCCCCCTCCCACTTCCCACCCCCGACTGCCCCCTTCAGAACTCCCGACCCATCCAATGCCCCCTACTCCTTGTCCTCTGACTGCCCCCTCCTGGGACCTCACCCCCTGCTCCCTGTCCCGACTGCCCTGACCCCTATCCACATCCCTGCCCCCTGACAGGCCCCCCAGGACTCCCATGCCTATTCAACTCCCCCTGTTCCCCGTCCCCTGACCCCCACCCCCAGAACCTCCGCCCCATCCAACCTCCCCTGTTCCCTGACCCCTGACTGCTCCCCGGGACCCCCTGCCCCTTATCCAACCCCTTCCCCCCATTACCATACTGCTCAGAGCACCAGGACTGGCAGCTATAAGTAGCACATTCCTACAGGGAGCAATTTAATACACTACACCGGCCCTCCATACAGTTTTGAAACCCCAATGTGGCCCTCAGGCCAAAAAGTTTGCCCACCTCTGCTCTAAGGTGCCACAAGGACTCCTCGTTGTTTTCGCTGATACAGACTAACACGGCTACCACTCTGAAACCGGTCACCTTGTGCAGTAACTGAGGTTCTTTGAGATGTGTCCCCCCATGGGTGCTACACTGTAGGTATGGCAGCACCTTTGCGTCTGGAGTCGGAGATTTTCAATAGCAGTGCCCGTTGGACCACACATGCGTACCTCTCCTCCCCCGCGCTGTGCGCAGGTAGTATAAATAGCGCTGTGTGGGCCGACCGCCCTCAGTTCCTTCTCTGCTGCAGTGCCCAAACGCTACGCTCTGAAGCAGTGGGGAGGAGGGCTATAGTGGAGCACCTATGGGGACACACATCTCAAAGAACCTCAGCTACTGCACAAGGTGAGTAATCCTCTCTTCTTCTTCGAGTGATGTCCCCATCACTGTAAGTAACTATAAAGCAGTGTCCCTAGCTGGAAGGCTGGAGCTTCGGAGTGGCTGGTATCATCGAGGAATCCTGCAAGATGGCGTAATGTTGGGCGAATGTATCAGAGGATGCCCATGCGGCAACCCCGCATATATCTATTATGGTAACATTATTGAGGAATGCAATAGAGGTAGAGAGCGCTCGTGTGGCGTGTATCCTGATAGAGCCAGGTGGTTGCTTATTGTCAAGTTCATAAGACAGGCATATGCACTGTGAAATTCATTTAGAGAGGCGTTGTTTAGCTATAGCGGAGCCTTTAGCATGTTCGGCAATGGATATGAAAAGGCAGGCGAGTTACTGAACAGTTTGGTTCTATCCAAACAGAATGACAATGTGCATCTAATGTGTGGAGAGCTGCTTCTTGGTAATTGTGTGGTTTGAGAAAGAAGGAGTAATATAGGCTTGTTTAGATAGAAGGACGTTATAACTTCAGCAGGAATTTTGGGAGGGGATGGAGGGTCACTCTGTCCCTATAACACGTTGTATATGATGGGTATGCCATAAGAGCTTATATTTCTCCCACACGTGGTGCCGATGAGGAAGGCCATTTTCATTGCTAGATGAAGGAGTGAGCAGGTTGCCATTGGCTCAAATGGAAGTCTAGTCAGAGAGCATAGGACTAGGCTGGGGCCCTAGGGTGAGATGGGGGGACATATGTCAGGGTATAAGTTTCAAACACCCTTAAGAAAACGTATGACAAGGGTGTGTACAAACACTGAATATCCCTTGACAGGGCAGTGGAATGTGGTAACTGCAGCCAGGTGCTGTTTGAGTTGAAGGAGGTAGTCCAGTATGAGAGGGAATGGCGTGCGACCCCCCCTTAAATATATAAAAAAAAGTGGTTTTGATTTATAACACCATTATAAATGCTGGAGGCAAAGCGGGGTTTGGGGTGGAGGCTGACAGCTCACCACCCCCCATGTAATAACCTCGCAACCCCCTGGCCCCAAGTTTGAGAACCCCTGCCCTAGTGAATAGCATCCCAGGCCTGCTCTGGAACAAAACCGAGGTCAACGGGTGTTCTCCAGAGTGGTGAAAAGGTCTATGATGGGGTGACCCCCATCGGTGGAAGATGGGTCGGAGTGCTCTCATGTCGAGCTGCCATTCGTGCTTGTGAGAGAAGGTTCTGCTCAGTGTATCCGCTCTCGTGTTCTGAAGTCCAGGGAGATACGCAGCAGAGATGGAGATGTTGTCGTGGATACACCCATTCCATAGCTTGATCACTTCTGAGCGTAGGGAATGAGACCTGGCACCTCCTTGCCTGTTGATGTAATACATGCAAGCGAGGTTGTCCGTCATTACTTGAACAGCCTGGTTTCTGAGGAGTGGTAGGAAACATTGGCAGGCATTGTGGACTGCCCTCAGTTCCAGGAGGTTGATGTGTAAGGTGGACTCAGTGGGCATCCATCTGCCCTGTATAGTGTGCTTGCATAGATGCATTCCCCAGCTGAGGAGGGAGGTGGTAAGTATCACGGTAGGTGGAGGTTGAAGAAAAGGGACCCGGCCCAGACATTGTCGGGACATGTCCACCACAGTAGTGACTCCTTGACCTGGGTTGGCATGGACAGGAGTTTTTGCATGCTGTGTTTGTGAGAAAGATATACTGTATGGAGCCAGCCCTGAAGACACTGCATGTGCAACCTCGCATGTTTGACCACAAACGTAGCTGCAGCCATATGTCTCAGAAATTGGAGGCATGTACGTGCTGGGATTTGGGGGCATACTTGGGTAGTTGAGACTAGTTGTGTTATCGCTGGGAACCTGTGAGGTAGTAAACACACTCTTGCCTGGTTGGCATCGAGTAGAGCGTCAATGAATTCCAGTGTTTGCACTGGGGTTAGTGTGGACTTTTCAAAATTGATAAGGAGGCCCACTTTTGTAAAGAGGGTCATTGTAGTGTGGACTGCTCTGAGCGCTTCAGTCTTGACTACCTTCTCAAAGCGTCATCCATCTAGATATGGGAAAATGGTGATACCTTGTTTGTGGAAGAAGGCCACGACCACTGCAAGTACTTTGGGAAAAAAACGGACAGAGCTGTGGATAGTCCAAAGGGTAGTATCCTATACCGGTAGTGACTGTGGCCTACAATGAATTGTAGGAAACGTCTGTGAGCAGGATGTACTGCAATATGAAAGTATGCGTCCTATAGGTTGAGGGCCGAGAACCAATCCCCCTGTTCCAGTGCTGGGATGATGGTGGATAGGGTGATCATCTTCAAACCTTGTAGTTTGACAAAACTTTGTTGAGATTGCGAAGGACTAGGATGGGGCACCAACGACCACACTTCTTTTGTACCAGGAAGTAGTGAGACTAAAAAACCGCGTCCTTTGTGTTGTGGAGGGACTTGTTCTATGGCTCCCAGTTGAAGTCATCATCTCACCTTCCCCTCCAGGATGGGCTCCCCTAAGAGGGGTCCCTGAAAAGGGATGTGGAGGGGGGTTAGAGGGATGGTACAACTAGGAAGGGAATGGAGTAACCTTCCTTTACTATTTCCAGGATCCATCTGTCGAGATAACGAGCATCCAAGATGGTAAAAATGGAGCTAAGCGGTTGCCAAACTGTCGGTATGTAGATGGCATTACAAATGGTAGGGGCAACTGGAG